ATATAGATAGAGACAGAAAGACAGTTACTGTGTTGTGTCGTAATCCAGCAGCCAAAAGTTGCGCTCCAATTGCTCCCAGTCGATTGCTTGAAAGATCTAGTGTCGTGAGTATCTAAGTAAAGACATAATATAGATGAAGAAACAGAATAGTTGGCCGTTTTTATGTGGGTTTTGGGTCAATGAAATAACTGCTGGTAGCCCTTCATTGAGAAGCATATGGATATCAGTCTGAGTACTTCTTTGAATTTAGATTCTGTGCAATGCTCAAGATTGTTGCGAAGAAAGCTGAGTTTTGCGTATGCATAGAATCTTTTTATCTATCAGTTGATTTAATTCTCAAATTTGTTTGTGAAAGAAGGAAAAAGGTTTAGGTTATAAATAATAGTCTGTCAACTGCTGCTGCGGAAAACAATTTGAAGTCTTCCGTCGCCTGTTAGTATTGTGCAGATACTGGAAAAATACAGTTCCATATTAGTAGTCTGTGGATGAGTTTCGTTCTGGCTCATGGACGAGATTGGAAGTGTGTTTTGCATGGAAACCTCATTTCAATTATTTAATCTAGCTAAATTAATAGGCATGATTTGTTTTGATAAGAATATTCATTGATTTCGGTAGGCGCTTTCGATGACATGGTACGGTTATGTGTATGAAACAATATTGATTGATGGAAACGAAAGAGTTAAAGAATTTATTACATAATATCAGATTCATGATGATTGAAAGGCGAATATATGCTAAAATGTCGAATAATAAATATCTCTTACGAAGTGTACTGGATGTTTTGTTTTAGTGATGAATTATTCTTGAGATTTTGTTCTTGAGAAAAATTCCTATATATGAAATGAGTTTCGCGTAGTGGCGTAACCAGGGGAGGGCCAGATGGGGCTTAGCCCCATCACCGAGTGTTTAAGCCCCATCACCCGGATTTTGTGAAACTCAAGTAAATTTTCGAAGAAAATCGTGAGTGTAAGTTTTAAGTTCCAGTTTCCCAGCTCCCCTCCCCCCCCCCCAAGATTCAATAAAAATACGCAAAAATCATTAAAAATAGCTATAAATTGCTAAAATGTTAATAAAAATACTGAAAAAGCGTTAAAAATAGCTATAAATTGTGGGGTTTTCTATAAAATATAAGCAAAATGGTTAAATACAGCTATAAATTAGTAGAATTTTAACAAAAATAAGCAAAAATAGTTAAAAATAGCCATAAATTACTACAAATTTAATAAAAACAAATAACGAAAATGGCTATAAATTGCGGGAACTTTTATGAAAATAATGACAAATCGCTAAAAATAGCTATATACTGCCGCGAATTTAATATAAATAACCAAAAATTGTCAAAAATAGCTATAAATTAACTAAATTTGAGCAAAAAAAGAAGACAAAGCGCTTAAACATGATCAGATATTCTGATGCGAACATACGTGAGTTCCACATTTTTAGCCCCAACGGGGCTGCGCTGATACGCTTTTTTAGTTACTAAACTTGACAATCAAAAAATCGAAAAGATTAGTCAGTTTTGGGCAGAGCAGGGCAACTCAGCAGAAAAAAGTGAATTGAATTCAACTCAATTCACGTCCACTAAAAACTTTCCAGAATTCAACTCAGTTCAATTCAATTCAGTCATACTAAAAAGTTGTACTCAATTCAATGCAACTAGATTAATGAATGGAATTGAGTTAAATTGAGTTCGTCATTTTTCGAACTGAGTTGTCCATTTCTGGTTTTGGGGCTGAGCCCCATCACCCTTAAATCTCTGGTTACGCCACTAGTTTCGCGGCAACGTTTTGGAAAAAAATTGCTTTGAAAGTAGCGTTTCTTGAAAAACTATTCTGTTTATGTAACAAATAGTTCATTCACGTACATTTTATTGAAGCGATTCTACTTGTATAAAGATTATTGGAATGAAAAAGAATTTGTAAGTCAATCGACAAAAATCAGGTTGTCATGATAGAAAAAAGTTTACCTGATATGGATGATAGCTGTTTAAGATCATGTTGAACCGTTGACACACATTAGTCATTGAGCATAGCATTGTGAAACGCGATTGATGATCCAAAATTCGGTAGACAAGCTCTACCGGTAACGTGTGGAAGTTCGTAACAGTTTGATTTGCCATTGCAGACGCTTAATGAAATACGTGCTGTATAACGTTGTATGTTGATGATATGATGTATTTGTATTTTTTCGTCCTACCTGAATGAGTATATATTCGTCATGCATCATATATTTCACATGACGTTGCAATTACTTCTTGAAGGGAAAAAACCCGAAAACGATGACGTCCACTAGAAAATGACAGAATCGACAGAGCAACTGTTCGCCACGTTTTTATTAAGATTGTTCTATTGATACCAAATGGTATATAATAGACATAAATAATGTGTTCTCGTTATAATTTTTTTATTCTATTTTTTTCAAAATCTATATTCATATTTGATCACAAAATCAAACACAGATATGTTTTATACGATGGAATAGAATTCGTTCTCATGAAACAGAGTCAGACAAATGAATAGAGGAAAAACATGAAATTATTAATTTCATGGTTGATGAATGTTAGTATAATCTACTCTATTGTTCGACAAATTAATCTGAAATATTGAGAATATTTTGCTTCATATATTGAACGTTTTTCAGATACAATTATTTGTATGATTTTATAAATAATTCGGTTTTGATCAGAGGCTGACTAATTCATTAAACTCTTTCATAATCATCATCGGCATAAACATAGATATGGTTGATCGAGAAGAAACAGAAATAAACAAATCATTCGAAAAAATTCTTCAAGGAAATTTATGTATTCAAGTCATTCCTTTTTGAATAGTTAGACTTCTGTGTTAATGTAAAATTGAACAGTGGTATTGTCATGTACGAGTATTGATATCCATAACAGAATCCTATTCAATGTATAAAAATGAATATGATTTTCGTAATTATCTATTAAATTATAGCAATAAATCAACCGAAAATCTATATTCAAACTTAGTTATCAACATCACAAATTCCAACAGCATTAATTTCATTTAGTCGAAGAAGAAATTTACAAATATTGATATTTATTTGTAGTAGATCAATGGAAAACCAATTATTAAAAATCAACAAGTCATCACAATTCATCTAATGTAGGACATGGAGTATCAACAGGTAGTGAACATGATATTACAATAGATCGTGGAGCAACATCTGATTATGGTTATGAAAAATCAACAACTTAAAGAAGAAAACAATAGATTGTTGTTGTATATTATGAACATTTAAGTAACATTAACTTACACAATAATGTAGAATATGAAGTTACATCAACTTATGATGTATTAAAACAAATAATTGAAGGAGAAAAGAAACTCAAAATTAAATTTAATTATTATTTAAAAAATTTTTGTCTTTAAATAATTGTTTTTTTTCATGTATTATAAGAGAACGTCTGATAATGATGCTTGAAGACTAAGCATCGAAATATTACGAAATAAAAGAATTTCTTAACATCATTACATATAGTTGCCAATAAACAACAATTTTCAAAAAAAATGATATAATCTTGTACGAGTATCATCAAATTACAAACTAGATGGTACACGAGTCAAGATCCGTCTGCGAACTAGTGCCTTTGAAGTTTCCACAAAATTCTCAATGTTCACGATTATAGTGAAGTAGAGTCAAACTATCATATGTTGAAAGAACATTAGTCGATCATTGTTTAATTATCTAGGTGATTCATTATCTATTATCAGGTGCAGTTTCAGCTGTACAACATTTGTTAGAAAAAAGTGACGCCTAACTTTGCTTTTCATTCGCGTTTTAATTATCTCGAAATTTAAAAAAATCAAAATTGTATTTTTGCGACGCTTCCTGTAAACGAATGGTATCAGTTCGATTTCGATATTTCGTTGCTGAGATAAACGTAACACAAAATAATAACTTTGAATGCGTACGCTGAGAATGGAAGAAAACTCGCGAAGGACTACATAAATGTTTTGCTTCACATCGCATTAACTATAGCGAACGAGGGGAAGGAAAATATATAACTAGTCATAATTCATCAAATATTATTACGTATGAAGACAATGATGACATCTCAACAATAGTCTAATAAATTATGGTAAGTAAAGATAGTTTACGACACAGTTACTATATTAATAATGTAAACAATGTCGCATTTTGAAAAAAATAAGTATCGATCGATTTGATCATATAAATTCTATGTCAAAATTTAACAATAATTTATATACATATGATCATCTTTATGATAATGGATATGCATTATATACGAATTCGTTTTTTCCAATTCGACTTAATATAAAAATACAAATCAAATTAACATTCTCATCATACATTGTATATTTAGGTTTGATAAGTGAAAATCTCAAATGTGTCTTTAGTATATTCGTTTAGATCTTTCGAATCATGCATAAAATTATTAAGTAATTATGTGGTGCTTTTTCTTCACACATGCGATTTAATAAGAACTGATGAACATGAATTCAATTAAACGTGGCATGAAATAGAAAGGAAAAGAAAACGGAAGAAAAAAAACCTTCAAAATGCAGTTAACCAAACGATCATTCTATTTCTTTTTCTCGTCAAGGCTTATTCGGATTCTTTCAATGAATAGTAAGAAGAAGAAGATAATAAACGCAATTTTCTTCTAGATTTTTTAGAAAGAAGAAAAAAAAGATATTTATATCTTATTTTATGCTTGAGATCATTGTGTATAAGATATTTGATTTCCGTTAAGCAAAAAATTATATTTATATTCGATAATACATGAGTCAATAATTAAAAATACGCATGATTTTATTATTAATAGAATAATAAGTTTCGTAATTTTAAGACGTAGTTTCTATGACACATGTACTTCCTATGTGTTATTACGAAATTAAACATATACATATATATATACTCAGGTAATAGGTAAAAAATATACGTACAGTATTGATGATTAGAATATGAGACAGGATAATTCAAGCTTATTTTTATTATTTATATTAATAGGTTAGATTTATAAGATTCATTATTTTTCTTCGTATATGACATTATATACTGATGATAAAAACAAAAAGTGGTTTCGTGAATCAAATGCAGAACTTTGGCCAGGTCAAGAATTTTCAATTGAAATTGAGGAGATTCTATATCAACAAAGATCAAAATATCAAGATATCCTTGTATTTAAAAGGTTAGACTATTGATAAGTCTATACTTTTATGTTTTAATCAATATTTTATTAGTAAATCTTATGGTAATGTACTTGTATTGGATAATTGTATTCAATGTACTGAAAGAGATGAATTTGCTTACCAAGAAATGGCTGCGTTCCTTCCTTTACTTGTACATCCCAATCCGAAAAGGGTAAATCTCAAATAGAAAATGAATATATTTATTTGTCACTCGATGAATATCTTGTTTCAGGTGCTGATAATTGGTGGCGGAGATGGTGGTGTTGCTCGTGAAGTGATTAAACATCCACAAGTTGAAGAAGTTATTCTATGTGAAATTGATCAGGTAAAATTTTATTGAAGAAATTCTTTCTCATTTTTTCCAACATAGGATGTTATCGATGTAAGCAAAAAGTTTCTTCCTGATATGGCAAAAGGATTTGCTAGTTCAAAGGTAACAGTTATTGTTAATGATGGTTTTGAATATTTAAAACAACATACAAATGAATTCGATGTTATTATCACAGATTCTTCTGATCCTGATGGTAGATTTTATTCGATAAAATGAGTTCGTTATTTACTTGGATTGATTTTTAGGTCCAGCTGAAGCTTTATTTGAAGAATCATTCTATTCATTAATGAAAGCAGCTCTTAAACAACCATATGGTGTTATCTGTTGTCAAGGGGAATGTATTTGGTTAGATTTACCTTTAATTAAAAAATTAATGACAATAAGTCGTCATCTTTTTCCATCGGTTGGTTATGCGAATGTATCAACACCGACATATCCATGTGGAGCACTTGGTTTTATTGTTTGTAGTCTCAATGAAGTAAATAAATATCTATTAAAACGTTTTATTAATCATTCATTTTTTTCTATTAGAATGCTACTGTTACTGAACCAATTGATATAAAATTAGCCGATGAACTTGATACTAAATATTATACATCTAATATTCATCGAGCTTCATTTGCTTTACCTGCATTTGTTCGTAAAGTAATTATATATAAATATAAAATATATACACATATAATGATTAATTGATTTTTCGTTTTCTTATAGGAACTTGAAGAAACAAATAAATAAAATTATTTCTTATTGAATTAATCAAGCTTTTTTTTTAATGTTTTTCTATAAAACGAATAATATATATATATTCTTGAATAAACTTAATAATCATCTCCGTTTTTTTCTTGCTTAAAGTAGTTAAATCAGTTGGACATATCTTTACTTCCGAAGATAATGTATTTTATTAGAGATACAGA